AAGGATGTTAAGTTCCAATCCTCCAGACCGAGAAGACCATACAAGGAGAGGAAGAGCGACATCATCAAGGTTGATGTTGAGGCAGTGGCCAACGGCGAAAACCGGGAAGTGGAATTGGAGTTCGTGAAGCACAAGGCAAGGTTGAGAGCGCAAATCATGAGGGACATGATCGACAATCCCGATGAGGGTGGTGATCGAATCTCCTATGTTCGGTTACCTGGCACCAAGAAAAGTGGCGGAGGTTGCCTACTACGCGGATGAGGACCAGATGGTTGAACGCAACTTGGATTCAGCATCCGCAGCATCCAGTAAGAAGGTCATTAAGAAGGGTGTCCTCAAATGCATGGTGCAACCAGTCATTCTACAGAAGCCAATCAAGTTCCTCATGGACACGGGATGTGGTCATGACGTGATCGCTCGCAAGAAGATCAATAAGCGCAACTTGGAGACATTGGTTACGCCAGAACCCGTTTGGTTCCAAACAGCCAATGGTGTCACAGACAGCGATCTCGTGTCCAACTTTCAGACTGAATCGTTCAGTGAGCCGATCAATGCTTATGTTCTCGAAGACACGCCATCTGTGTTGTCCATCGGGAAGCGATGTATGAACCTCAACTACGGCTTCATTTGGCCACCGGGGCGTGAATCATTCATGATCGACCCTGAGGGAATCGGAAAGAGGATATCCCTTTGCGTCGACGGTGACATCCCATACTGTCGTTCATGCAATGGCAAGTGTCTTGCTCCTGTGGATCCTGAGGCTACCGCCGTGCACAAGATTCTCTCAGCGGGTCGCAGGAACCACGTACCGAGACAGCCGCAGTTGCCAAGGCAGTGCCAGGTGAAGAAGGTGATGGTGATGAAGCCGGAGAAGCTGAGTTGCCTTCAGCGCCAGATTCCGAACCTCACGAAGTTCCTGCAGATGAAATACTTGAGTCAGAAGCAGGTAGACCTCCGGATCCTCCAGGAGGTGGGGTAGGAGAAATTGCTCACCATGCTGATGACGATGAAAGGGAGATCGAGATCGAGGGTGAAGGGGCACCTACCAGAAAAGCGAAGGTAGGAGCATTGGAAGCAGAAGCCAACACCCTTGCACATTTGCGCACACATCGTTATCGCAATCCGTATTGTGACTCATGCATTCGTGCAAAGATGAAGCATTTCCGCACCATGCGGCGTGGAGCATTCCAGCGAGAATTGAAAGCTTGGGGGGGATTTGGTTATGTTTGACTTCCTCGACATGCGCAAGACTGCAGAAGCAGGACTCGGCATTGATGATGGAGCCAGAGAAGTCCTAGTGGTCAGAGACATTGCTATATACCAGGATGATGGCTGCAATCCCAACAGAATCCCGACACACGGACGACGTCGTCGACGCGTTATAAGGAGACTGTTTGGGAGACGCAAAGTCAAGATGGCCTACAGTGACATCGCGCCTGAGTTCGATGCAGCGATGAAGATATTGAGGATACCACTGGACCACTCGCTCCCGGGCAAGCCCAACAACAATTCTCTTGCGGAAAGGACCAGCCAGGAGATCATCAACACCGTTGCGACTGCGTTGTTGCATGCTGGCACTCCGGCGCAATACTGGCAGTTTGCGCTGAATTGCGTCACACACAACCTGAACATTGAGGATGTCCTGGGTGATGGTGATTCAGCATGGAAAAGGATGGCGGGTGATGACTTCAAAGGGCAAGCCATACCATTCGGTGCCAAGGTTTTCTTCAAGCCCACAGACATTCGGGAGAAGACGTATGACCACAAGTTCGATCCCAAAGGGGTTCCGGGCATTTTTGCAGGTTACGTCATTACTACTGGACAAAAATGGTCACGGAAGTATCGGGTGTGGGACATGAAGGAATTTGCCAACGTGAACCTGTCCATGGATGCAGGGGTACCACGAAGGCTCATGCAACCTTACCAAACCGAAGTCGTGTACTTTCCGGACGAGATTGATCATATTCCCACTCACAAAGATGAACGAGACCCTAGAAGGTCTCAAGGACAATGTGAATCTCGGAGGGAAGGAGATCAAAGACATCGACGATGACGATGATGACGACTCAGGGAAACTTGGTGGCGGCGGCGGAGGAGATCAATTGGACGATGATCGTCCACCTCCAGATCCCGGCGAAGATCCTGATCTCGCAGATATTGAATGGTCTGGTGACGAAGGAGATGGTGAACGCGCTGAAGTCGATGAGAGTTTGCCCATCGACGCAATCGGTGATGCAATACTTGACAGAGATGAACGAGAAGGTCGCGAAGCCGCAGGATTACCTCCATTACCTCCACCAGTAGAACCTCCGGTACGGGAACCCGATGGCCGACGCTCGCTTGACGAAGTCGGACCAACAGGGCGACTCATACCAAAGGGTGAAGAGGAGGATCCTGGAACCATTATCAAGATCCTGAAGGAGAAGAAGATAGCTGCTAAGGACATTGAGCACTGGAGTACGGGAAAAGGCGGAGATGGCGAGGTGTATCTGAATGACGACGGCGAGGCATGTAAGATCGACCGACGTGGAGTACCATACAAGATTCGAAGTGATGGTAGGCGAAGCCTTCCTACCAGACGACCCATTGAGAAGTATACACCAGAAGCATGGAAGAAGATGGGTGAGTCTGAAAAGAAGGCAGCATACAAGAAGGACAAAAGGGACAAAGCCCGTGTTGCCAAGAAGGAAAGGAAGAAAGCCGCGATGGGAGCTAAAGTGATCAACAAAGCGTTGGACCAGATGATCTTTCCAAAGATCGTTCAGTGCGAGAAGATCGATCTGCAGCTCAATATTCGTGATCTTGACGACACATGGGGTTGGGCACAAGAGATGTCTGACGCGTACGCCCAGAACCCGGCGGTCAAATCGTGTTTCAATGCCATCCTCACACGACCAGTCACTCGCAAAGAGATGTTGAACAGTTGAACAGTCCCAAAGCAATGGAAGCTTTCATGAAGGAGTGGAAAGGGCTCTGGGATCAGGAAGTGATTGACTTTCCCACTACTCGCGAGTATGACGACGTCGTGGCGGAAGCTATGAGCGCAAAGGTGAGAAAGTGCACATGGCACGTGCGCATGGCCTTATCTGCCTTATCTACGAGAAGAACTACCAGCTCAAAGAAGATGACCCAGCAAGGAAGTTCAAAGGTAGGGGCGTATTACTTGGTGATCAGGTGAAAGATCAGAATATGGAAGCTGCATTGTTTCAAGACCTGGGAAATTCTCCTGCAACTTTCGATGCATCGAGATGGGCTGACTATTACGGTTGCCTTCCGGGGAATGACGTGCAAATGGCGGACGCCATCCAGGCATACATCCAAGCTCGACTATCGGGTGTACCCTGTTGGGTTGAATTACCTGACGAAGCCTGGCATCCATCGGCTAACCGTCGTACCGCCGGCCGGTCTGCCGACTGGTCAAGGCCCTCTATGGACATCCAGACGCTGGCACCATGTGGGAGCAACGCTGTCATACTGCAGTACATAAGGTCGGGTTCAAACCCCTAGGCGAAGAATGGCCGTCGCTATATGCCGCTATATTTCCATCCGGATCTGAAGCTGCTCCTTGTGATTTACGTGGACGATCTGAAAATGGCTGGCCCCACGGCTAACCTACCCAAGGGATGGAATATGCTGCGCCAGGAATTGCGTCTTGAAGAGGAAACACCTCTGGGCCTGTACCTTGGATGCCGGATCTCCAAAGGCGAGGCAACATTGCATGACAAAACTAAGGTGCAAACTGTTACCTACGACATGGAGACTTACCTTGAGATGACGGTCAAGACAAGAAGTACTGTGATGTCACAGGGTTCGACTCAAGCAAATTCAAGACGGTACCGTCGCCGAGTCCCGCGGAAGAAACCAAGAATCATCCAGCACAGGCTCCGGCACAATCAGGTAAAAGTCATCGATGCACGTGGTGTGGACACACAATGCCGGTTGACGCGGATGGTCGGCTAGTACCGCCTCCACTTATTCCCAAGGCGCCAGAAAAAGAGGAAGTCACCGACGCTAATCGCGGAGCCCTTGCGCCTTGCGCATGAGGCTGCGAGCATACTCATGAAGTTGCTCTATGCCGCGCGCATTTGTCGCTTCGACCTACTGCGCAGTATCAACAATTTGGCTCGCAGAACTACAAGATGGACCAAGAAAGAGGATGCTCTGTTGCACCATCTCATGGCGTATGTGCATCAATCCAAACAGTTTGTCCAAACATCACATGATGATTGGGTGGGTGGGGGACTCCTTGGAGACCTCATCTATCGGGTTGTTTGCGGATGCGGACTATGCTGGCTGTGGCGAAAGTCTCAAATCAACCTCTGGTGCTCACATGCACATTCAAGGTCCTCACACAAGATTTCCATTGGCTGGACTTAGTAAAAGGCAGGGGTGCCTTAGTCACTCCACACCTGAGGCCGAGATCGTAGCGGCCGACTTTGGTATGTCACGCTTGGGGCTGCCTGCTATCACCTTGTGGCAGCCGCTGAGAGAGAGAGAGAGAGAGAGAGAGAGAGAGAGAGAGAGAGAGAGAGAGAGAGAGAGAGAGAGAGAGAGAGAGAGAGAGAGAGAGAGAGAGAGAGAGAGAGAGAGAGAGAGAGAGAGCACCGTAGCCATTTTGGCTCAAGCCGCGAGTGGTTCAAGGCCGAGCCCCACCAGACAGTCAGAGGGCCTCAAAACCAAAAGAGTGAGTGGGCCTCCGAGGGAAAGTGCACCACTCGACAATAGCCCTCTTGCGAAATCCTGTACCAGATTGTAGTTCTACGCTTGTACTCCAACGCCGCTCGGGACGGGGACATCGGAGGGGTCAAAGCACGAGGGCATCCTTGCGCTGCTGTTCAGGGATTACCACAGCAACATCGTGATCGCAATCGGCGACCCTACAGGTCGACGATCTCTACTACCTGATTCTCCGGGCCGTGAACTTGGGCGGGGGAGTTTGACACGTACGGGTTCGTGATACTTCAGCGAGCACACCAAGAGTGATATCTTCGCACTTTGAGATGGCAGCAGGCATGAACACGGCGAACCAGGCCGAGGGTACAGGACCGCAAAGCTCTCCTAAGCGAGCGAGAGAACAAGGGGGGAGCAATGCAGAGGACGACCAGCCCCTCACCCTTGGCCTCCCGCAGCAAGCCCTCCAGGTAAACCAACAACAGATCACGCTCTCGCTTCAGGAGTCGCTTGAGGGGCTGGGGAAGCGTGTCGGCAACCTAGAGCAGAACCTGGATGAGCATGTAGATCGAACTACAAGACTGCTGGATGCCATGACAGATAGACGTTGTGCCATCGAAACCAGCGTCCGAGACATGAAGACATCCTACGATGATGTTAAGCAAAGGCTGGACCTGCTCGAGGGGAAGTTCGCTACAGCATCTTTCTCCACTACAGACACCAGTGTGAGGACCACAGAGACAGGGGGATCCGAAAGCAGACCAGCCATCATAATGGGGGGATGGGACGCGGACCAGAGTGCCCAGGAAACCCTACGTTTGGTGAAGCAGCACATCACTGAGCTCAGAATCGACATCGACATGGACGATGCTTTCGTCCCCGGCCTCCGCCGCGGGTTCGCAATCGTCCCCATAGCAGCACGCGAAGGGGAAGGACAAGCAGAGTTCCGAACTCGCATCCGTGATGGGTTGCGAACCATCCGGGAGAGCCGAGTGATCACAGGCCAAAAACCTCAAGGCGGGGATCGATTATTCTGGGCAGCCATGAGCGAGAGCCCGGAGCGCCGAAAGAGAGCCCAGTTCGCTGGGAAAATTAAGCGCCTGGCGCTTGAGATGGAAGGGGACAGGGGACAGGCAAAAGCTGGACGTTGAGTTTGGCACGGGGAACGTCTGGTACAACAGTGTCAAGATCGCTTCAGCCACCACAACAGCACCGCCCAGTGCCGAGAACATCGGTGTTGGCTGGCTTACATTGGGCACATTGGCAAGGCAACTGGGGATCGGCGTCAGCTCTCTCACAGAGAAATGGGAGGAGCTGAAGACACCACTGCTTTGAGAACCACAGGACGATTTTTTCACCCGGAGCCCACCGTCGAAGAAGATGGAGGGAAATTGCATGTTGTGACATGGAATGTTGGGGGGCTATCACCATCAAAAGTCCTTCAGCTTCTATGTGACCTTCGCAAAGAACGAATTCACCCCTTTCACCTGACCTTCATTTTGTGCCTTCAAGAGGTCATTGTGGAGACAGGCAAACATACCCTTGAGCAGCAAGACGTTCAGCTTTTTTGTGGGAAGCAAGCAACAGACTGGCGCGGGACTGGGATCGCGCACACCAACGACCTTCAGCATTACCAGCCCAAGCTCCTCAAGTGCGGAACAAGTATGGTGATTGGCTTTGGCACAACTCGCGTGAAAGCCATCTCAGGGCACATGCCACACCATGCCACCGTGGGGGAATGCAGCGACATACTTTCCCAATGGGATGTACAACTGCGATCCACTGACTTAAAGATAGTGGCAGGATGCGACCTGAACGAGACGTTCACGGCTGGAGATGCAGACCACATCCATTCAGAGAGCGCAAGAGGGGAAATCATCCTCACATGGTGGACAGCCAAAGGAGGGGACCTTCCGACACAGGACCTTCAGCAACCCTCGTACTATCCCTACAACCACCGAACGCCAGCCCGCAGACTGGACTACATCTTCGCGAAAGGAATGTACGAAGGCACTGGTGCTGTACTCCCGCTTCGACACTTGGCCACCAGTGATCATGAGCCCGTGCTCGCCACCTGCCTTTTAAAGCGACCGGTACCAAGACCCAAGAAACCGGCAAAGCCCTGGGGATGCAGACAACCGCGAGCAACTGGAACCGTCGAGAAGATCCTAGCGAAGCCAGCTCCCCGATCGGGGGACCCAGTGACCAACATTGCCGAGATCGCCGTCGCCATCACAAAGCCGGGACGAGGGATCAAGGGGTTCCGAGAAAGTAAGAGTTTGCGGGAGCTTCGCCAGGCAATTGTTCGCATGGTTCCGGGGGAAGAACAACGTCGTCAATGGAAAGAAGTGCTGAAACTACGACGTCAAGAACATGGCCGTTGGAAAACTGACATGCTTGCCAAGGCAGGGCGGAGATTCTGGCACTCCAAATCAGTCGTGGACCGTGACGGGCATACTTCTGCTTGGGAGCTTCGATTGCAAGAAGACGAAAGATGGCGAAGCACACTGGTGAAGCACTTCGAGGGGATCTTCAAAAGGCGACCGCGCCATGAAGTCAACGAGCGCTTCGCAGCAATCCTCCGTGACCTCACAGTCAAATGCAAGCACCAGAGGTGGCGACCTTTCAGTGATGACGAACTTCGGGCTGTTCGCAAACGATGGAAAAACGGCAAGTCCTGTGGACTCGACTCCGTATCGCACGAGGCCCTGAAAATCATGCTGGAGGACGACACCTGGCGGGGACGCCTCCGGAGCCTCTTCAACGATATGTTCTACGTCGGCAAGATAGTTCAGGCCATCGAGCAGGGGATTACAGTACTCCTCGCCAAGGGGGACAAACCCAACAGCTGGAGTGATACAAGGCCTATTACCTTGAGCTCCACGCTGCTTAAGACCTACTCGCAACTGGTGATCCACAGGGCAGCACACTTGGTCCAAGAGCCAGCACGTCTACAGTGGTCCAGGCGACACCGGCAAGGGGTTGAACTCATACTGATCCTGCGAAAGGTGTGTCGCACAGCACACGACTGGGGGATCCCGATGTACATTGCGAAGTTGGACATCCGCAAGGCATTCGACTCCATCTACCAAGAGTCCCTTGCTGCTCAAGTTGCTGAAGACGTGGGGGGCCATGGGGATATGCCATGGGAAGCACGAGCATGGGTGACCCTACTCCATGCCACCGAACTACGTGTTTTCTTCCGAGACGAGGTGTTCGTGATCGACCAGACGAACGGAGTACGCCAAGGCAGCCCCGATAGTCCAATCGCCTTTGGGCGTATTGTGGCAAAGGAACTAGACACGTCCATCCAAGAAGCCAAAACAAGCAAGGCAACGACGGGGGAACCACCACCTGAAGACGGATGCTGTTATATGGACGACTCCTACACATGGTCAACCACAAGATGGCATCTGCAGCACATGCTGGACCGCTTGGGAGAAAACCTACCACCACGTGGGCTAGACATCCACCCCGAGAAGACCTTATCGCCGAAATGCAGGCCCGAGGACGTAAAGCCTTCGGCAAGCACCGGGGCACGCTGATGGCCAACGCGCCGGTGAAGGGGAGATTGCAACTCCATACAATCCTGGTGAGACAGAGTGCACTCTGGGCGTGCGAAACGTGGCCGTGTGTGGACTACGTGCTACGCGCTGCCAACTCTCTGCAACTTCTACATGCACGCACCATCGCCAAGATCCCTCGGCAGCCGGGGGAGCAGTGGGTGGAGTGGAATGTACGCTCTATGCGACGTGCCCGTGTCCTCCTGCACCAATACCACATCGAACGTTGGAGCACATTCATACTGCGACAGATATGGGGGCTCCTGGGTCATGTGGCTCGCCTGGCTCGCGGGGACAAAATCGGCGCTAGCATGCTAAGCTGGCGTGACCTATCGTGGTGGAGAATTGAGCAAAGCATCCCAGCTGCATGGGGTGGGGAAAGGCACGCACAGAGATTCCACCCTCTCCTGGATATCGAGAGGCAAATCTGCGAGGTCGCAGGCGAGAGATGGCAATCAGTCGCCCAAGACCGATTGCACTGGGCCACTCTGGAAGACAAGTTCCTGGAGATGTTTGACCCACCCTGGGCATCGGGGACTCAGATGGCCTTCGACAATTTGGCGCCCAACCAAAAGTCATGGTATGCAGAACAGCGAACAAAGAGGGAACAGCGAAAGCGGCGACTGAAGGGGACCAAGATGTTGGGGAACGAATGAATCTCTGGCAGACGGAGACGACAACTCCTCCTCGACAAAGTGCATGTGGACCGTAGCCATACCAAAATATGCTGCCCGCCGAGCCGAACTGTACAGCCTATGCACTCAAGAGCAAGAACTGTGAAGACCGAGGGGATGCAAAAACGCCGAAGTCTCTGAGTCGCTCAGCCAGGTGATCGCAACAGACAGTGACCGCAAGCAGCTGCAACGATAGTGCTGGGGGACCTTCGTAGACAGCTCCCGAGGCCCTCTACTTTGCCCAGACCCCCGTTTCATCTCACATCGAGAATGCCATACTCTACGACCCAGGCCCGAACCTACCGGGATGAGAGGACCCAACAAGACCATGTACTAGAGATTGCAGTGATGTGATCGGACTCGCTCCACGGCGCCTTCCTCGCTGCCGCTTGGCTCGCACACGGTGACACTCACATGTGGTTTGACATGTACTTGACATATTTCGGCATCCGCTAGGACGTAACGATCGCACGACCACCACTTGACCTACTCAGCAGCGAAGCAAACTGGAGTTCCACGTGACGAGAGCAAACCCTCGTGACACACTCACCCAGAGGCTAAAACTTGCAGCATAGCATGCAGCAACAGCACAGCAGCACACACAGCAAGATGATCACACAACTGATCATTCTCCTGCTGTCGGCAGGGAAGCAAAGCTACGGCATGCAGCCACAGCATACATCCGGTGGGGCACAGCCACATCGACAAGCACCTGGAGTACCCGCCCGGTGAAACTGAGATCCCTGGCCACACGGGGAATACCAACCCGGCAGCGCTGACATCACAACCACAACAACCACAACAACCACCGGCAGAGGGGGAACAGACCCCGATCCCGCCCAACACCCCTTGGCTTCCACCATACGTGGCCACTGCAGGCCCAAATCACCACCCACTAGCAGCAACCAGCTTCCAGTGGCAAGCCACACACCCGTCCACAGGCGGCGCAACAATCACATCGTGGGGTGGCTATACACTCACACCCCAAGCACAGATCCACATTGGTGCAAACAACATCCCCCAAATACAGATGCCACCTCCCCAATATCAGCTCCAGCAGCAGCCCAGCCCACACCACGGCGGACCACAACACCAGCCACTACCTCCACCACAACAGCCTCTGCAGACACAGCAGGGGATGGGACCACAGCCACAGCACCAAGGGCAGGTGAACGTCGCACAGCACGCTGCAGCACAGCAGCAGTTTGCCCCCCCCCCCCCCATGCAGCAAACAGGAGCTCAACAGGCACACCAAGGCACGCAACCCCAGACAGCATGTCGGCCCCAGCAACCAACACAACCATTCCAAGGACTGGGGACCGTCAGATTCGCACCACCATACGACCCAACCACACTCCACCTGACAGCCCCCGACAGACACCACAGAACCCGGTCACCCCAACACAGCCACAAGGCCCCCAACTGGGGAAGCCCACCAGCAGGTGCCAGACTCAGCCAACACAGTAGCAGCGAGCCAAGGCGGAACAGCACCCCAGCCATCAGCCATCGTTACCAAGCCGCACTGGTGTCCTGCTCCTTACACAGCCACTACCGCGCGGGCCCTCCCAACAAATCGCAGAGGGGCTGGCACAGATGTTCAAAGAACAACAAGGATGGGGCACAACGACATGCACCGACCCATCCCAACAAGCGACCCCCACAGTCGAGACCGCCGACCCCGAGCATGCTGGCCACTACGACACTCCCACCACGAACACACAAGAAGACCAGATGCCAGCAGACACACAGCAGGATGCTGGCCCCACACCACGGCAGGAGACGACAGAAGGCAGCAGCGCAACGGATCTCGCAGCACCACATGAGACCACACCGCAACAGCAACCACCACACCCACCACCGGCCGACATGGCCCCAACAGCAGATGCGGCGGCGAAGACATCAGCCACAGCAGTCCCCTCCAACACACGAGGAACCGCAGTACCTCTCACCACAGACCAAAGCAACACGGCAGACGCACCACCACACACCGCCGCTGACGTAACGGGGGACACCCCACCCGCAGCAGACGAAGATGACTCCCCGGACACAGCGCAAGACGATGACTGCGGCCATGGCAGTCAGAGAGTCCTCAACAAAGCCTGCAAATACGAGTGGAAGCAAGCGAACAGACAACATCGACAAGCAAGACCGGCTCCACAGGGGCAACAAGGCCCCGGATGGGGCATCCTTTACAAACAACAACAAGAGAGTCAACAGCAGCAACAGCAGCAGCAGCAGCAGCAGCAGGCCCCTCCACGGCGAGCACAACCTGCAGATGATGTTGACTGGGCTGACTTGCTGAACCGAGCAAACCTCCCATGGGGGACATACGGAGCCCCACGACCCTCCGTTAACCCACCCACCAGCCCAGATCCCAACACGCCGCCAGAACAGACATCAGAGAATCATGAGCAAGACACGGGTGCCGAAGCAACGACTCAACCACCGGCAACCTCAGACCAAGGCATCGACACACGCAACAACCACGATACACATAGCTCCAACCCTACTGGCGACCAGGGGGACGATGCAGGCACACAGGGAACACCAACAGCCACGGCAGATGACCTCGCCGCACCACATTCACGACCACCGTGGGAAGAGCAGCTCGTACAAGACTGGGTCGACGCCCAAACGTCGGATCCAATCAGGAACATGTCCATACCACCGGACTTCCCAATCCAGCCCCCCTACACTCAGGGGGAACTCCTTCCCCTGCCAGACAAAACATGGAGGATCGAGGTCGTCAGAGCCCCGGATGCCCCGGGCCGACCCAGCACTCAACGCGGCAGCCTACCACGTATAGTGCGGGAAGGAGCAGAGGGAACAGCGGTGAGTGCACCGGCTTTTACCGAAGGTGTGATTGGTTTCTTTACGGAGATCACACCAGAGCTGTGGCTCCTGGAAATAGAATCTGCTCCAGGACCAGACGAGCACATGCCATGGACTATGCTCTTAGCAGCTGGAGATCGACTTCGCTTCGAACTGTTTGAAGGCGAATGGATACTCAAGGTGGAAAAACTCAGCTCCAGTCCACCTGACTCGGTCCGCAGACTGCGAGAAGCGGGGAAGCCAACGACATCGCCGTCCGGAAGGTCACGTGCCGAAGCATCGCAGCAGCAGCGGAAGCCAACACAGCTACCAACAATACCGGAGGCTGGGCCTAACGCACCAGTGACCCTAGTGCCAGCTCTTCCCAGGAAGCACCACGGAGCTACTACCCACCACCCGTCAGGAGACCAGAGGCAGACGATCCCCGCGGGGAAGATGATACACCAGACCCGGAAGCAACGTCAAGTAGCCAGCACACAAGCAAGCAGGCAACACAAAACACACAACCACCACGTGCTCAGCAACCATCGCAGCCTGCCTTCGTGGATAGAAGACCACTGAGACGAGGACAGAACCCCAACGACCAGCCCCCCCCACAGCCACAGCCACCTACGCAGCCGAGCCGACCGGGGGACACGCCGCTTGCTGCCCAACTACGCGACGGTCGACACATTGGGCACCCCCCTCAGCAAGAGCCCGATAGGAGCAATGACCCCGATGGCGACGCGTCAAACCTGATGCAACAGAGCATCTTCTCGGCATGCCTGACACAACAATCAGAGCAGCGACAAGAAGAAGCGGGGGACCTCAGCTCGGAACAAACAACGTTGCCGATGCCCGGAGCAGTAGCCAATACCTACCACTTCAACACTGCAGCCACGGAACCACAGCCCACGACACAGTCTCTAGACCACTCGCACCACCCACCCACGACTCCGGGGAACCTGAGCCCACCGCAGACCCTAGCATACGAAGATGACGACGTCCGCGAAGCAACCACCATCCCTCAAAATCGGCTGCCAGTGGCTCCACCCGCCAGGGAACGATCCTGGGAAAGAGTTGAGCGACACCTCACCGAAATTCGCAGGCTTGCAGAGCAACACCACGCCACAGGAGCCACTGCAGACATTGTACACAATGCCAACCAGGCACTGATTCACCTACTTGTCGACACTCCTACCGCCGAAGCCCTTGACAGCAACCATTCCCACACGGAAGACTTCAGCGGGGGACAACAACCAACCACCAACAACCCAGCAAGCTCTCATAGCCGGGGGGGTAATGACATCACAACACTCTGCCGACAACAAGCATACACTGCAGCAGCTGCACTAATCATCATTGCAAGACAGCAGTTAGCCGATGAAGGGAGATGTGTCACGTATGGGACGCTAGAGCTACACGTCGCTGCCCTCATGTCATGGATGCAGACTCTGCCGATGGACGATGTGTCAATGTCAATGAACATCCAGCTGCCGCCGATTTTGACGCCGCTGCGGGGGATCCTCAACAACGTGCTCGATGGCACCACTGGACCAACCGACTGGGCATCCCTCGTAGCAGTGGGGGAGGCGATGCAAGCACTGTGCGCAGGGGGAACGCTCGTACACCCTGCCAACGTCGTGGCCATGGCGACCGGGGGAGTGGAATCCTCACTGACGGACCAGCGAAAGCAAGGGCCCGCCTGGCGCCAAGCTTTGCTCCTACTGCGACACTTACATGAATCAGTGGGGATGTGGCCCGAAGACAGTCTATCGCAGCTCCAAGAAGCGGCGATGCGACTGGTACGTCAAATATCGGCACGTATCCCCGAGGAAAACCGGGGACTACCCACTGGCAGAACAGACTGGTGGGAAGATGATCGTCACCATGGACTGGGGAACAACGCCTACTACGGACTGGTCATGGACCCGCCAAGTCCCCGCGAAAGACATCCTCGCCGTCAGCGCAGCCCAGACTATGGCGGGGAACAGGGGGAAAGCGATGACAGTTCCGGAAACAGCCACAGACGACGACGGCTCCTCGCGATGCACATTCACGACCACCTCTGAGCGGGGAATGAGCCAGTGAGACCAATGAGGGGAGGTGTGGAGCATCTCCTCGTCAGTAGCACTGCCCTCCAGATCGGGGGAAACTCTCTGTGGCCATAG